AAAACTGGGAATCAGGACAGGATTGACCAGTTGTCTACGCCTTTACCTCTGAATCGTACGGCACAGCTTTCAAGACACTAACTATGTAACAACTCTTTCTTTTGTAGCATTGCTCTGACAAACTAACAGTATGAATGTTCATAGTGTTCTACATGTTCACAAAGCGATAGCAGAAGGCGCAAAAATCATTCAGGCGATCGAAACTCCCTTATTCTCCTCTAGCCGGCATTTTCTCATTTTTTGGTATTATTTTAGTTTGATAACGAGGAAAACCTTTCACAAAATCAAAATATGTATGTATATAATTTGAAGACACGCCTGTCTTTTCTAAGTGGTACACTTGTGGGATTCTGTGATTTTCTGTTCGTCGATCAGTTCCCCTGGAAATTGGTCACTGCAATATTTCCCTGTAAATCATCATTATTATTTCATATAGTCTAAATTCCAACATACATAAACAGATATCAAGTTGACACGATTTGAATTTCGGCACAATTACGAGGTTCAATGCCTTAGATCTATCCTCCCTTTCAAAAAGCGAGAAAGCGTCGGGTGCAGACCATACACCACAAGTGACGACGGCCTTCACAAAATGTAAATGTTTTCTGCCAATGAAATGATTAGCCTGTTGCAGTTGTATTCTATCAGTTGTCACTAATTACAACTATCATTTACCAAAATCAGCTATCACTATGAACCACTACTAACCAGATTTACTTGGAGGCCGTCGTCACTTGTGGTGTATGGTCTGCACCCGACACTTTCTCGCTTTTTGAAGGGAGGGTACATATGCATCTGTACAAAGGGTAAGCATATTGCTCATAAAATACAGGTCAGAGTTCAAGTTGAGTTCAGCGGCGTATTTTCCCAATTAAAACACCATCCTTGTAAAAAAATTTAAAAACATTCACATGACAAATTCTGAGGGGAAGTAGCTGTAAAGAACAAAACAAGTTAGAAATGCCTGTGATCTTTGTTGATTTACTTCCCTCCAAAACACTTTTGTTGCCCGAGTTCTCGATGTTTTGAGTTGATTAAACAAGATTCTGCTTCCCTTACCGTCAAGCTGACTTGGGGTGGAGGAGAGGAAGGGGATAAACTATTGAAAAACTCAAATGATAGGGAACCGTTCAATTTAAGCTCTTTTGCAAGCGCTTTATTCATTTCATTTCCCTGCAGCATTGCAATAATAAAGCAATTCGTCCCATTGTTTTCACCCTTTCTTTCATTCTGGCAATGGCTGGAATTTGACCGTGTGAGA